ATCATCAAATATCCAGGATCCTCAACTGATGCTATTCCTGTATTTATGGTAAATTTTTAGTGCTACCCTGTCTACTTACTCATATTATTCTATAGTTTTCATGTATTTCTCTGTTGTATTAACTGCAGTCACATCAGTGTATATATATATATATATATATATATATATATATATATATATATATATATATATATATATATATATATATATATATATATATATATATATATATATATATATATATATATATATATATATATATATATATATATATATATATATACAGTCAATCCTCACATTACGCGGTCCCGCATTCCGCGTTTCACCGTTAACGCGGTGCCTTGCCAGAACCTAACATGCTCACATTCCGCGGTCGTGAACCCCATTACGCGGAGAGCGGCTGGCAAGCCGCGCCATTTTTGGATCCAAACCTCCCGCCATCCGCCATGTTGTGTAAGAGGCGCGAAAATGGTGCGCACAAGGTCGCCCAGTCATCAAAACATTACCGAGTTCTTTACCCGCCACCCACCACAACCGGCCCAAGTCAGTGATAGTGATAATTATAGTGAGGATATGGACTTGTATGGACTTTGAGGGGTTTAACAAAGAGGCCCTGCAAGCCTCTGTGGTGGATAGTGATACAATTGATACCAGTGATACAGGTGAGGGCCAATAATCTGCCCTCTGCCTCGGAACCAACCCCCCATCCCCGTGTGCCCAGCCATCTTTTCTACTCATGTAAGTGTTAAAAAACCTAATATTATTGATATTTCTCTTAATTATTAATTGTGTGTGCATGCCATCATAAAGTTAAGATAATATTTTTACTACAACATAGTTGTGTGTCGTCAAAAAGTGGAGTTTGGGGATCGGCCTGGACTCCATTTCAATTAATCCCATATGTTATGTTGTTCACTTTACGCGTTCCTCACTTTCCGCGGGACCCTCCGGGTTACATTAACAGCGTAATGTGAGGACCAACTATATATATATATATATATATATATATATATATATATATATATATATATATATATATATATATATATATATATATATATATATATATATATATATATATATATATATATATATATATATATATATATATATATATATATATATATATATATATATATATATATATATATATATATATTTATTCAGTGGTCCCTCGGTTAACGAACACAATTCGTTCCAGAAGGTCGTTCGTTAACCGAAACCATTGTTTCAATGGGATTTTGGGTAATTGGTTCCAGCTCACCGAAAATTACATACAAACTAAAAATAAATGCAGTAATGTACACTTACTTTGAGGTGTGCATGTAGAAGGCTCCTGGTTGATGATGATGGGAATTAGAATGGGGGTGGAGGAGAAGGGAGAAGAGAAGTCACCCCATGCCGCCATTTCACCCATAAAATTTTAGTTCACTTGGTGTAATTCAAGATTATTTTCTTTTAATCAACACTGCACTGTGCTATATATTATCAATATGTAAAATATATTTCAAAATGACCATAATTTTACTGGAAACACAGAAAAAAGCATTTATGTTGAAGAGTCAAACAAGATGTTCCTTCCTCTGAACTGGTAAACAAACTGACGCCAAGCTTGGTGTGTTGAGTGGCTGCTTGGCGCGTAAAAAACTAGTTTCCTGTACTTCAATTATGTTCAATAATTGTTAAAATGACTAAAAAATTTAATATAAAACTTAAAATTATTGAATAATACAACCTTCTTGATATTTACTAAAATGGTAAAGAATTTAAGCCCTAAAACCGATTACTATATTGGCAGACTAATACTACAGCTGGTTGGCAGCCAAATGCAGGCGAAAACATGTTGGGAAAAATTCTTAAGGAATTCGTTAACCGAAGTGAAGAATCTTATGGAAGGTAATTCGTTAACCGAGGGATCACTGTATAATATATATATATATATATATATATATATATATATATATATATATATATATATATATATATATATATATATATATATATATATATATATATATATATATATATACAGATTACCCACTTAGCGGTCAGGTGAACCCAGAGGGATTCGCGTTAAGTGAAAGCGATTAAAGTGAATAACAGAACATGGGATTAATTCAATAGAACCCAGCCCGACCCCAAACTCCACTTTTGACGACAAAATACTTATATTTGTGAAGTAAAAATTCTATCTTAGCTTTATGGTGGCATGAAAAACAAGTAATATAGAAGAGGTTAGGTTAGGAAGATAAAGGTTAACATGGGAAAAATAAAGAACTCGGTTAAAAAACGAAAATTTTGTGAGGAACACTCACGGTGAAGTAGAAGAGATGGGTGAAGGCATGCAGGGATGGAGGCTGGTTCGAGGAGCAGAGGGCAGATTACTGCCCCTCAGGTGAATCACCATTACTAGGTGAATCAATATCCTTATCACTTACAGTTGTTATGGCTTCCTGACCAAATCCCTCAAAATCACTTCACTATCACTATCACTGGCTTGGGCTGGCTTATTTGTGGGTTCTTGAGGCGAAGAACTCGGTTATGCTTTGCTTTGTGGCTAGCTTTGATGTTGTCATGATACACCGTGATGTCACGGCTCCTGGCCTGCACCAATCCGAATATGGAAAACGTCATAGGCGTTCATCGTCAGTGTCGCGGAAGCGATGGACTTAATTTTTCTGTTAACTCTGAGACCTTAATATCACTATAGCTTAAAGCTAGGTTCTTGGAGAATGGCCTTTTCCTTCTTCCTCCACCTCTTCACTGGCGGGTTCTTCTTCCAACATCTCGTGGCCAGTCACTTCAGGATCTCTGATCACCTCCATGATAATAACCGTTGGTGGTCTCGGGAAGCCTTCAGCTGTAATACTGGCGCAGCTTCTCTGGCAGATCCTGCTACTGCAACAGTCTGAACCTGACCAGTCACAGGTTCACTCCTCCTCTCTCACCTGGTATGCCATGCAACACATGTGTCTCCATCGCATTGACGAATACATTAGCAATAGTCAGCAGATCCCATGCCTCCACCAAGAAGTCTAGCTTGTTTAGCGTTAAACTTCTTCAAAATTGTTTGACGAGAGAAGTTCTTCGGAAGTCGCCGCCTCATTCCTTGTCACCGTCCTTTTACTCTGGCTATGGGGTGTCACCCAGCTACGCAACTCATCCTTGGTGTTGGTAGAGTCGTTCAGGAGCTTGAATTTCTTTGCAGTATGCAGCTTTAACGTACAGATTAACTCCTGGTCCATGGGCTGGATTAATGGCGTAGTGTTGGGAGAAGGAAGACCGCACTACGTTGGGGTGACGATCCGCCGTAGAAGCGAGTGTCCAGGTCACGTTGTCAAGGAGCAACAATATTGAAAAGGAACATTCTGTTGCTTTCGCCAGAATTTCTGCGTCAGGAACAAAACAGTTGTCAAACCAGAAGAGGGACAGAAGAGGACATCCACGCCTTCTGATGCGGTTAGCCAGTGGACGATAAAGCTTGTTCATGTCCATATTCTTGTGGCGTGCGGCTTGCGGGCTTTGTGAATCACCGATAACTTTGGTTTACAGGTACGGGCGTGGTGGTAAACAGGGCGGTGATCGTTCCTTCACCATCTTCCGGCCCTTACCTTGCTTTCATAGACTGGACAGCGAAAGGTCTTGGAAGGTAACTTTTTTCAGAAAAGACCAGATTCGTCATGTTAAACACCTGGTCGTCACTGTACTGTCCTTCCTCCATAATCTCCTGCGTAAGCGGAGGAAAATCTCTAGCCGCCGCCTGGTCATACCCTAAGCTTCCTCACCAGCAAACAGTGTTGGTGACCTTATTCCTCTCTTAAACCTATGCAGCCAACCATGAGGAAGCATTGAAGGGGTTTGGGCTCTGCAATTCCCAGTTTCACGATGTCACTGCTGCGTATAGCTCACGTCGTACTCCTGCACTGGCGCGTGTCCCCACCGCCATGTTAAATAAGCCTGGCCCCGCGCAAATAACTCACCAGCAAAGTTTCCACTTTTGCCAGCACCTGTTCTGTAATACCTGATAGATAAAACACCTGCAGACTTTATGATCTTCATGTGCTCCTTTATCTTAGCTGCATCCTTCTTTGTTATGCGAATCGTAGATTCGTTGGCATATGCTGGCCTTGAGATCAACAGCGTCTTCCTTTCTCCAAATCTTGAACAATTTGGTACTTCAGCCGTCAACTTAATAGGCGTCGTGTCTTCTTTGGTTTAGTGCCGCTGGGTCCAGAGTAAGGAAAGGTTTCTCTCTGGGGTGGTGGTCGGCGGAGAAACCATTTTCTGCGGAGCAATGGATGCGCGTTAACCCGAAGCGTAACCTTGAGGATGAAACTGCCGCGGCTAGGTCAAAGCGTCGTCTCTCCTCCTCCCTCCTCCCGGGGTGAATCACGTCATAATACTTTAAGCCAATTACAGCTAGCAGCAAGAAGTGAGGCTGCATGGCCAATCACAGTCGAGGCGTCATATGATGTCAGTGATAGCATAACAAAGACACACACTTTCTGCGCCTGCAGCGCCGCTTACCCAAGCGGAGGGAGGAGAGGCAGAGCAGGCAGGCGGGCGGGTGGGTGGCGTGGTCAAAATCCTAAAAATAGCATCCGAGCCGGACCTCACAGCGTAGCTGTGGGAAAAAACCCAGCGTTAAGTGAAAGTTCAGCTTTGGCAAGGCACCATGTCGCAGCAGCGTTAAGTGAAAGCGTTAGCCGAGAGGTAAAACTGTATTTATATTATATATATATATATATATATATATATATATATATATATATATATATATATATATATATATATATATATATATATATATATATATATATATATATATATATATATATATATATATATATATATATATATATATATATATATATATATATATATATATATATATATATATATATATATATATATATATATATATATATATATATATATATATATATATATATATATATAATTTATTTATTTATTTTTTTTAATTTTGATTTTTTTTTCAGATGATGATGTGAAAAATGTTGTGGTGAATCCTCAAGATATAGTTCCAGATTGTCTGATGGCAGAAACTTCAACAAACAACACTGTCAGAATGGATGGTTTTCAGACAGGCCAATCTTCAGCTTCAGATACCTCTCAGAATTGTGAACAAACCTCATATTATGAAAAGCCAAATTCTGATTTAACTCCAAATATTGGTCCATCAAGGAGAACAAGAAAGCAAAAGATGGATCAGTTATGTGATGAGGATATTCTTCTTGCTCAGATGCAAATGCAACAAGCCCAACTTTCAATAGAAAACTTAAGATTAGAGCGTAAAACTCTACAAGAGAGGTACCAACAACAGCGGGAGGCCCATGAGTGGCAACGAGCTCAACATGAGGCAAATTTGAACTTGGCAATGTTGCAAATAAAATTTTGGGAAAAGAAAACTGGTTATGGAGATATGGAAACATAATGCAGAAAATTATAGCTAATGAAAGATAACTGACATAAATGGTGTATGGAAAGTCATCTTAATCATCTCGTAATCTTTTAAAAAGAATACTTGATAGTGATAGTGTGAACTGTAGGAAGTACCTGAATCAAACATTACTTTAGATCCATTAAGAAAATGAGTGTTTGCGAAAAAGGATATGTTAATGAAAACTTCCATACATTTATATCATGGGAAGTGAAATTTGATATCTATTTTGAAGTGAGAATGGCTTGAACGTGTTATTGATGTTGACAATTGAGGCCCTGCCTACTGAATATGTCTTAATGCCACAAAAATTTAAATGAGGATTAAGGCAAAAACTTGTAGCAGGAAATGTAATACTAGTATATTTCATAAGCTAGTTGAGGAACTGGAAAATCATCATATTGTTATAGGATAAATATGGGGTGAATATTCCTGAGTTATTGTAGAATGCAGAGAAATTGCTGAGCCAAATACAGCTTTTGCTCCTAGCCCATCAGCCTATCGTATAGGTGAGTGCACGTTATGTGACCAGATCACACTCGGCCAATCACCATGCTGCACCTTTCTCCTAAACCCACACATAATTCAGTACGTGCTCTCCCTTTATTGGTAATGCTTGTGGTAATTTTTATACATAATTTTATTGTGTTTACAGCAGGCATGGGGATGAAGCCAAGCCTCCGGATTTGAAGCCAAAGTATTGGAATGTCAAAAAGCCAAAGCCAAACATTAAAAAAGTCATGAAGCCAAAGCATTAAAAAAAGTCATGAAGCTAAGGTCAGGGCCTATAAAGGCTGTATTATCTTATGTTGATGGGAATATGTATGGTATTCTAAGTTACAGCAAGGCTTTTGAGATAAGCTAACTTTATTTTAAGCTCATTGTTCTTAGGGTAAGTTTTGACTGTAGGCTGAAAGAGGTATTAACAGTTTATATTACTAAATTTATTTTATCCATAATGCATAAACATACTAATTTACAGTCACAAATCACAGAGAAGCATTGGAATGAATCATCATACGAGTTTCTAAGGTATGTTTGATCTCTTCTGATGTTTAGGTCAGGTCCTTGTGAAAATAGGCCAGTAGGGATAACTTGTGATGTCAGTATGGATTTTACCTGAACTCACCTAAAGTTTACCCTTCCCAGAATTACCTGGGGTGGAGAATCTAACCTGATTGACCTGTGACAATATGTTCTTGTGTTGGCTCTGGTCACTGACATGCTGGTCAGTAATTTTGGTGCCAACACGACAACCCATGTCACTTGTCAAGTCAGGTTAGGCCAAAATTGTGCTGCCTTGGCTCTGCCTGTGGCTTCGAAGCTGGAGCTATGCCTCTGGCTTTGAATCTGAAGCTGTGCCTCTGGCTTTGAAGCTGAAGTTGGTGCTATGCCTCTGGCTTTGAGGTTGAAGTTGGTGTTATGCCTCTGTCTTCAAAACCAAATTAAAAAAGCATGGCTTTCAGAAGCTTCAGCCAGCTTCAGCCCCATGCCTGGTTTACAGGGTTATATTGTGATGCAACAACTATGGATCCAAGTGTTACCTCAGGTATCTCAGGTTTTACATGGTGAAGGTATATGACAAGATAGCTACAATTCTTTAGGATGCTAATGCAGGTGGGGTTGTGGAGCAGCATATCTTAAACCTGCTTATTTTTTTCTCTTCCTGGCAGTTGAACAACTCTGGAAGGCTGGGCCTCAATTGTATGTTCATTTGTAGAAAATAATGTTCTGTACTGTACTGTATATGTCAGATGGATGGCAGCGCCAGGTAAGCTAAAGACTAGAAAAGTATTGTGCTCTATTGTATATTTTTGTTTGATAAATTATGCACAATTTTGTGGATGAAATCCACTTTATGTATATTTTCATCGAGTTCACAGATTGGTAGTGTGTGTATATATATATATATATATATATATATATATATATATATATATATATATATATATATATATATATATATATATACACACAGTATGTACTGTATAACTGTATACAGTATTTAAATAATGCTCGGGTTGTACACATATTAAACCTCCCCATGGTGTTTGAGGAGTAAATGCGTAAATGCTTGCTCATATTTCAGCAATAAATTATTTGATCATAGGCTCTGTTCATTGGAACTATGGATCTATGAGTACTTCTCTCGTACTCGTTTATTGATTTGTGTAAAAAATACACTAATTTAAAAAAATATCTTTGGCATTTAGCATGGTGGAAGCATACATTTTTGTGCATATAAGGTTATAATAATTGCAGTACGTATACTCTTCGGAAATTCACACACTTCAGAGTTATTTTATGCCACAAATCCATGTTATGCATGGTAAAGCCTTATCTGGAGTACAGAGAGGTTGACTTTAATCCAAATGCATTTTGAGCCTTGTGCCTATTGGAATACTAAATGGGTCAAAGAGCTCAGTACCAGACTTTTTTTCCAGTCAGCATGGAATCTTCACTTCAATGTGAATGTGATTTACTCTGTTAGTTATTTAAGATGATTCTTGATTTTGCTAAATAATGAAAGTTCCATTGTAAGTTTCGTCTTGTTAAAGAGTTTCACCTGTGTGGCTAAACTCATTGTAAAGTAATTACTGAACACTGTACAGTGTCGGGCCCCTTTATACGGGGATGTAATTTTTCCATTTTTTGCAGGAAAAATTTTGAGGATAGCGATTTATCACCCGAATAGTCCATGTCCATTTAGAAAATATTTAGGGGGTAGACAAAGACCCAGAATGCTTGATGACTTGATTGCAGACACAAACATGGTGTGATTTTAGTGGTGATGCCAAAGTGTGATCATTTACAATACTGAAAAGTAGGAATATCGTTGGTGTCATATCTTGAGGCTTCATTTATTTTCATATTTCATATATATTCAGCAGCAGAAGTTGATCCCAAAACAACATGCATGATATGAGGGAAGAGTTGACAGATTTGTTTTGAATGTCTAATTATTTAATATTTATGATTGGAAATTGCCTAAGAATACATTTCTTGCAATTATCTTAATTGGTATCAATATGTAAAATGTGGTAAAATAATGTTATTGAGTAATATATATGACATCACTTTATAATGAATGTGTTATTAAGCATGAGAAATATTCGTTGGAATCAGCAGTAAAGTAATCATATACGTCTGGATGCCCAGTTATTGAATCATCTTGCAGCAGTGTTATAATTTGTTTTCAATAACATTATTTTACCACATTTTATACATTAATACTAATAAGGTTACAGGCATACCCTATAATCAACGCATATAGGAACCATGAAAAGTCGTTGGTTGGCAAACCAACGGTTAGCAAACAAATTAATCCCATAAGAGTATAAAAAGTTCAGGGGGTTAGGGGACTGGTCACCCCCCAAAAACACCCATGTACCCTTGTTATATCTATTTCATTCACACTATCAAGCAAGAAAATAAAGCAGTCATATAAAGCAAGCATAATAAGCATTAAATAAGGAATATAAAGCATAAATTGAGACTTATTTACCTGTGTTGTAGATGGTAGAGACAGTCTAGGGTGGCAAGTTTAAGTCTCTACCAATCTTTGCTGGCCCATCACCACTCTTATTATGCCTTGTCACATCACATCAAGGAGGGGCAGCACATGACAAACTATCACTGGGGCATTTAGGCATGATAGCATAACATGCAATGTTGGAATTAATGAAAAAGCACAAAGTCAGAAACACATGGTAAGTGTAAGCAAGTGCAGAGGCGGGAATGAGTTGGAGGCAGTACACAGTGCCCTCTCGCACCACTGCCCGCCAAATTCAAAACAGCTCTGCCGTTCCTCCCCGATCAACGGATTTTTTTTAGTATATGTACTGCCGAAGCAAGTTCTCCAGGGTATCAACGAAACTTATGGGGTATTTCTTCTATATACTGCATAATTGTCAGTTATGCGAATCAGCGGTCAGTGGGACGTTGATTTTTGGGGTATACCTGTAGATGCAAGAAAAGTATTCTTCAGCAATCTCCAATCACAAATCTTAAATAACTTTGTATTTAAAGCATATCTGTCATCTATTCCCCAAAGTGTTACCAGATTACCTGCCTCATATCATGCAAGTTAGCTCAGGATGAACTTCTGTATATAGATACAGTATTTAATTTTTTAACTCACATAAATTGAGATGACATACAGTACATGGCAAAACACTACCTCTAAAAAATATTTTCAAATATATGGTAAATTGTGAAAATGTTAAAGCTTCTGGGGCACTATTCTTTCTACCCCCCCCCCCCACACACACACACACACACACCTACACCTCTCTCTACCTCTGGACTCCCACTAAGGCTCTGCTCCTCAAACCTATTGGTGGCCAACAGTGGCTTTCCAGATTCTCAACTTGTTTTCTTTTTTTTTCATTCATGGTGAGTCACATCCCTGTATACTTGAATAGCTTTTCTTAAAATGCAATGCAATGGCTATACCAAAACCTGTACCAATCTTTTGTCTGAGGAAATTGATCTATTGACAGCTCCTCCCACTTCTCTATAAAGAATCAAAGAAATTTCTTGCACATGTATTCACATACCGGTAAACCTAACTTACAAGCATCTGATTATATGTCTTTGTGTTGTAGATCTTCATAGTATGATTTGAATAATTATTTTATAGTTGGAGAGATGTATTCTGTATAACTTTTCAAGTTTATTTCACTGCATCTTCTAAATATTTTAATGAGTGATAAAGTTCATTTGACTGTGTTCTCTTCCACATTTTTGTTTTGTATGCTGTAGCTAGTACAGCTGGACATTAGCAGCAAAAACAATAAAACGATTGCCCTACCCGTTTTTTAGCTGAGAAATGTCTGTGAATTACTTTTATAGTGTACCTAAAAACACATTTAATTGCATTGAAAATTGAAGAAAAAACGTTGGCTGTGAAATTACCTGGGGCAGTGTGACCCCTGAGCAGTCAGTCAGTTGCTCTTCTAAGGTGTCAGGATTGCTTGGGACACAGAAAAGTGGGTGGAGCAGAGTTGAAAGATTAATTCTCTTACACACACACTCTACCTCAGACACTATACCTCACACATACTCTCTACCTCAGACACCATACCTCACACATATACTCTACCTCAGACACTATGCCTCACACACACTCACTACCTCAGACACTATACCTCACACACACTCACTACCTCAGACACTATACCACACACACACACACACACACACACACACACACACACACACACACACACACACACACACACACTCTACCTCAGACACTATACCTCACACATACCGTACACATACTCTACCTCAGACACTATACCTCACAATACACACACACACACACACACACACACACACACACACACACACGTACTACATTCCCCATCAAGTGTACACATTCTTTCTTTTACTCAACTTTGATACTTTGGTGTAATTTCATGCAAATGCTATCTGTTATCACAACAGATCCCTGGATAATTGTCAAAAAAAAAAGCCAAAGCGGTTTTACTAATTAAAATGAATTAAATGCAGCCGTTTTTGTCTGCTTTAAGTGTGGCTATGGCTGAGCTCAGGGAGTTAGGTGCTCACTTGGGCCTATTGAGAGGTAATGGTGTAGTAACTGGATACAGTATACGTACTGTATTGAAATGATCCACCTCACCTCTTCCTTGATTGACACACAATTTTGAGTTGATGCTGTTCATACAGATATCAAAAGGTTATTCTGATTTGTTGAGTAATGAACCACGTCAGTAACTTGCAATGGGGACATAATTTATACAGCGATACTCAAACCATTCCCATATACTCCGGTGAGTGAGCTGCTAATTTTTTCAATCTTGATTGTTCCTTGTCTTATAAAATAATTCCTATTCTACAGATCTTTGCAGCTCCTCTATAGATGTATGTACAAATCAGTGCAATCCCTGCTATGTACAAAGTAAATGCAGAGCCTCAGGATAAACTTCCATATTTGAATGCATTTGTCACTTTCACAATACCAGTACTGTATAAACAAATGTAGTAGCAAAATTATTAAATATTGCAGTCAGCATAGGCATTTAGAAATACATGTACAATGTAAACCGCTGCTAACAAGTAGTGTTTGAACGATCATTTTTTTCCTGTTAAACAAACCATGCACAATCCTTTAAAAATTGAGAGTTTAAGTTTGCAAGATTACTGTTAAAATATTTCCTTAACAGATACACAATTGCCTTCTCATATCCTTAGTCTAAATTCTGATAAAAGGTAACATGTTGCGAGAGGTCCATTATCAGTTAAATACTGTACTGACAGATAAATGGTAACAATTCAGTACGGTGTATTGTTAGGTACTGGAAAATCCTTTAGCTCGGGGATCTTAGGTAAATTTTTTACCTGGTGTACAAGAATGGTATAAAAGTGCATTTTGAGGTACATTTAACATTTTATTATATTGGTAACTTCCTTAGAAGGTACATGTAGTCTTGTCTTTTAATATATAAAAACTTGGTGAACTACATGATACTTTGGCAGGAGATCATGAAAGGGTATTATCATTTATCATTGTTAATGAATGATAAGTAAGTACTAAATATTGAATCTACTGTATGTACTTTAATATAGATTCTGGTGAAGATTTCTTATGTTGTGAATTGGTAAAAGAAAGCTGAACGTTTCAGTTATTTTGAATGGAGACTCGCTATATAACTGACCCCTCACTTTTGCATGAGGCTAGAACACGGAATGCTGATTTAACCCAATGACTACGGCATTTGGGAAATCAAGGGTACCCCATATACTGTACTGCAAAACCATTACATATGATTTTTGTTTTGTTTTTTTAATTGAAGATATAAAATTTTGAAGGCACAAGTACCATATAAAAGCTTTGTACTTATGATAATTAGCGAGTTATGTGTATGAAGTGAGGCGGAGTGTAACTGGCAACTGCTGAGCGCAGGTGGTTGTGGTGGTGCAGCAGTGGGTTTTTGTGATGCAAAGTGGTTGTTAAGCCCTTTTGTAGGTGGGGAGCTAGTCTGGTATTGTAGGTTGGGTAAGGGGCTATTACAGACAGGAGGAGGGTGATGAAGCATAAATAATTCTAAGTCATTCCGAGGTGATGATGATAAGTTGATTTGAGGCTCCACCAACCTTGTGTTTCACTCTAAAGTGTATACCAATTATATATTTTCCATTCTTAGCATGATTTTTGGCACATAGCTTTAAATTCACAACGCCAAATGCCAGTTGTCTAAGACAACGATGACGCAATTTCGGTAAATCATATAAAGACGATGATAGCAATTCAAGGTTAAAGAACTGTATAGATTTCTTTAGTACTAATACTAAAGTGACATGGGCAGTCATTCATAGTGAATGTAATAGTTTGGTTGTGTATTAAATATTGATTCTTTTTAATATAATAAAGAAAACGATAGTATTATTTTTATTTTATCTCCATATTTTTATATTTTTGCATATGAAAGAATGCAAAAGATCAAAGGCAATCACAGAGCTCTGATTGTAGCCCTCAAATATAAAGCAGGAAGGCAAGTGCCACAATCCACTGTACTTATGTTTGCTTTTTTAATTACTGTATCTGTATTTTCATGCATAAACGTGTGTATCAAAGAATGGACCGTTTTTAAATATGAAAAGGATGATAGTTTTCCACAAGTGGAGTACAGTACCTTGTATTTTATAAAATGAATTCTCAACAGCTGAAACTCAAGTACAGTATGTATTTGTAAAGTGTGAAACTTGTAATTTATTATTTAAAGTGAAGTGAATGTAATCTAAATTAACTTTTATTCTACTACCTGTAAACTGATTCTACAATAAGTTTCATGTATGTCTTAAACCTTCTATGAATATTTTAATATACTCTAGTTATATGTGTACAGTGTATGTGTGAGAGAGTGAGATACAGTATACTGTTAATGTGTTTATCTAAAGAAACTTATTGTAAGTAAAAATAAACCAGAATGAATCTACAGTATTTTAAATACAGTACAGTATATAGAAAAAGAATTAAAGGTGATTACTGAATGACAACTGCAGACATTTAAGTCTAATGGCTTAGGGTATCTTTTTGAGAAGGTGTAAAATGTATTGTACTTTGTAGTCTGTTATGTGATGCTAAATGTTAATTAGAATTTCTCCTTTGTTGAACAAAGGATCCTGCTCTCCATGAATTATGAATTCATGGCTTTAATTTTTTCCACAATATTTTTGTTAAATATTAACCATTCATATTCATGTTCTGTTTCCATTGCCTGTGATAAAACATTTATTTGTAATGAAGATGAATAAAATGTATGGATGGGCAGTTAAAGTTTTACCCTTTATATTTATCATTTTAAATTCTAAGTACATTTTTTCTTGGAATAATATAACCAAAGGTAGGCTGTTTCAGCAAGAAGATTGACTGATTTCCTTGTCAACTTGATTTCCAAGAAGTTAGCTACATAGGATGCTGAGGAGTCAATAATAACAGTGAAGGGTATAAGAGAAGCAAAGGCACAGACCCTCCCAATATAGTGAGAGATGCTGGCACCTGACACTGCTTTTGCCTCATGGGTAGTGTGGTTGCGGTGACCCGGTGGGTAGGTATATTGAAGATGGCTAATGGAAGACTACAAAACTCATGTATCTATAAAGGTATTGTATTTATTTAAAATAAGGTTAGGATTATTGTCGAATGTTAATGAATTGTAAACCATTCGATTACATCCCACTTGGACGATCGTCTGTTTAATGCGATTTAATGTAACCGAACCTAACGACCTCATTTAACTAAGTTGCTAAAAATACCATTAAACACATGGTTGCCTAAGTGGGAACCGTCCTAGCGAGATATTGCCAACTGTATCTCTGGAAGATTCGAGGGGGGGGGGTCCATACTCGCCCAATTTTAAATTTTTTTAAAATTAGTATGGTATGCTGGCATGTTTTTTTTAGTAAAAATTAATTACTATTGACCTCAGAATATCTCCTAATATAAAGTACTTATTGCCTCAAATTACCCTATGGTATTGGTCAGATTTAAAACAAATAAAAAATTCAAGTCCACTAAATCTCCCCCCAACTCGGTGGGCTCGCCATTTTCCCTCACCCACAACTTCTTGGACCCCCCACCCTCCCCCTTTTTATGTTCTTGTATCGCCCTGAATACTATTGGTTTTGCTAGTGTAAGTTTACCTGGCCTCATCGACATACTGTATCTGCACAGTACAGTATTTACATTGTCACATAATGAAGAATTAGCTCTCATTGGTCGTGAAACATATGCCAATATGAAGTTCCAAGAATTGTAAACAAAAAAAAATTACGTTATTATACTGTTGCTCTAGAATGTATGGGACAAGTTTTATAATATCTTCTAGAACATGGGTTGGATGTGAGAAGGGTGCTACCACGTGTGTGACCTTACTTACCATCTCTGGGGTTTCCCTCGGTTTTCCTAGTCTGGCTGTATCAAGGAATATTATTCCTTGGCCTGTACTGTGCAGTACTAGCGTGGGACCACTGAAAAATAAACTTATCAGAAGCATTAGGGAATTAAAACTAGCCACTAGTTTCCTTCACACAACATAGGTGTGCAAATTAAAAAAAAAAGTTTTCATGCACAGTAGAGAAGACCATATTGTTAAACAGGCTGTACTGTAGGTCATCCTTTCAAGCATTCACCGCTTACTTACTCTTTATTTGTGTTGTTTTTTAAAGAATCATACCATACATTGAAACAATAAGAAAATCCGCACTTTGAATGAAGGTTTTTAAGTAGACTCTAGTTATTAGAGATACACAGTGCAATTCGATTCATAGACTATTTTTACTGCATTTATATTTTAATTAAGTTAATCTTATTAGCATCACGACATTAACCTGCACTCCCTCACAATACAATCCAACTATTTAGAGAATGAAAAATAAAGAAGGAAAAAATGCTAGTGTGAAGAAATGGAGGAATCAGATGTTATCACTTACTAGTTATTAAACCTCCAAAACAAATTATTCTAATCAAGTCACTTCACAATCATAAGGGAACAATCCTAAGATGGGGGGGAATACATAACGTAATAAATCCATTAAAGGAAGAAGAGAAGACTGATGGTGGTGGTCGCCGTGCGTGTGTCACTTGTTTGTTTACCACACAGGGGAAGGCCCAGCTAGGTCGGTCCTTCCGTGCTCTGCCCCACCGAGCAGCCCGTGTCTTGTCACCGGTCAATACTCAGCGCCAATCATCCACCCACCATGAAGGTCTATAAGGACAAGATCACCGGTAAGATGATCTACAGTGCATACACTATGAGGTGAAGTAATAAATTTGTACATTAATGCTTATTTATATAAGTTTTTTTGTAATGGGATTGTAGTCGAGAATGACAGATGTAGGTTACGTCTGGGTGTTGTCAATTGTAGCTACTCTAACCCTATTTTGATGTTATTAATGATTAAGTCCTTAGAGGCTTCACTTGTGTTTAGTATGAAAATATGTGTAAAAATGATAGGCGAAGGGCCCGAACTTCTTGAAAAATTTTCTTGAAAAAAAATCCGTTGTATTGCAAAACGACCAAGGCCCAAATGTTTATAAATCCCTTGTGATGTAAGGTAGAACTTCAATTTATATCCGTTTTAAGGATTAGGGTTACGAAGTAGAGGGAAAATTGGGGTAAGCAAGAGAGATAGTACTGGAACAGACCGGTCCGACTAATTACCCAAATGTACCCAAATGTAGCCGCAATGGAGTCAAATAATGGTCCTACATGAATAAATCGGACTGCTAATCACTTCTCAACTAGTATTTGGTGTCAGAAAGTCATAAAAAATTGGAAAACTTACTTAAATCTGAGTTAATAGATCGCGTGCATGTACCGACGGAGCGAGGAATTACCCAAATGTAGCCGCAATGAAGTCAAGTGATGGTTGTACAAGCGTAAATCGGGCTGTGAATCACTTCTCGATTATTATTTGGTGTCAGAGTAAAAAAAAATTGGTAAACTTTATTTAATCTGAGTTGTGTTGTTAGGTTAGGTTAGATTAGATTAGATTAGGTTAGATTAGATTAGATTAGGTTAGGTTAGGTACATGCACTTGATCTATTAACTCAGATTAAATTAAGTTTTCCAATTTTTTGTGACTTCGTGACACCAAATACTAGTCGAGAAGTGATTGGCAGTCCGATTTATTCATCTAGGACCATTATTTGACTTCATTCCGGCTATATTTGGGTAATTAGTCGGACCCGGAACAGACTGCTAACACCAGAAGAGGTTCGATGATGTTCATTTTTTTCTCATGGTCTTTGGATGATAGTAAGTAATAAAAACAATAGGTGAAGCTGATGACTGCCAGCACCAGAACGACTTTGTAGGCGGGGTATGAAAGACGAAGGAAATTGTGGGGTGAAACAACAATAAACTAATCCTATGACACTAAAAGGGCAGTGGATATTTTGCCATGACCGTTAAGTTCCTACTAACGCTATTTTACCGTAAGTGCAATCTTATTGGCTAATCGTCCATTATTGGTGAACAGCGCGAAAACTGTTTGACCGTGACTGACGGCACTTGGCATTTATTTCACCGTGAGTCAATTGTTGTAGCTGTAAACATACCTAACCATATTTCTGTTGCGCATGGAACTTATTAAAAAAGAAGTGTTAAATTTTTACTTTCGGACATGAGTCCCTATGGGTTGACCAATATGCTTTTCCAGTGTATTTTGGGGTAAATTTGCATACGTGCACACAATTCTGTAAGAAAGTCAAAACTGTGTTTTTCTAGTGTATTTTTGTGTTTTGATTGGCTTTGACCTTGATTTCCGTCGGAAATTGCCTGTTTTTTTTTTGTTTTGTTATCGGGGGTGTTTTCTGACAAAAATTATGGCCAAGCAAATACAAAATACAGGACACACAAAAAACACGAACAGGTTGCTGAAGCTGGTTCTCGCTTAACGGGGGGTATAGGGAACGAGTTACCACAATGCCACATATGTTGGTCTTGACGATAATTACATTCGTTCTTACACTTAATATTGGAAGAACAAATACTTATAATGTATACAGCCTTAACAACATCAACCTAGAGAAGTCGACTTGTGAAAGAGACCTAGGGGTACTTGTAAGCCCGGACCTACTGCCTAGAAAACAGTGCGTTAATGTTCAAAATAAGGCAAACAGAGTATTGGGTTTTATATCTAGAAGTGTAAGTAACAAGAGTGCAGAGGTCTTATTGCAACTATATCTTGCGCTAGTCAGGCCGCACCTCGATTATGCGGTTTAGTTCTGGTGCCCCTATTATAGAATGGATATAAATTCTCATGAGTCGGTGAAGCGAAGAATGACAAAAATGATTCCGGGACTTAGAAACCTTCCATATCAGGATAGGTTAAAAAAACTTAACTTGCATTCCCCAGAAAGACGAAGAGTGCGGGGAGATATGATAGAAGTATTTAAGTGGGTGAAAGGAATCAATAAAGGGGATATAGATAAAGTTCTTATACTATCCGAGCAGGATAGGACTCGGAGCAACGGATTCAAGTTGGATAAGTTTAGGTTTAGGAGGGAGATAGGAAGAAACTGGTTCACGAATAGGGTGGTGGACGAGTGGAACAAGTTTAGCAACTTTGTAGTAAGTGCGGGAACTCTGGAAAGTTTCAAAAGGAGGCTAGATAGATTCATGGATGATAGAGAGTGGTAGTAACTCTCGACAGGAGCTGCCATGCACAGGCCAACCGGCCTATTGCAGACTCCTTATTTTCTTATGTTCTAAGGACACTTTACTGAGGTTGGGAGAACACCATGAGATCTAAAAATTATATTGCTTGTTTGTTTTACCCCAAAATGCACAATCAACTCCATATAATTGAAGTGACACCCAAAGCAGACTTCCATAGTCGGAAATGAATTTGAATTTCAAAATACGAGACCCAAAATAAAATTCGAATCCAATTGGGCCAAAAATACTGCAAATTAAACCTCAAGCTATTTTAATTGGTGGCAAAGAAAAAAAAGCTTATGGTTGGCAGCGTGACGTGTACGGGAACGCATGTGTGTGACGATTTGTGAAGGGAACACACAGTGGGAGGTCGGGTAGGTGATAATGGCGGAAGTTTAATGGAAGAAAATGGAGAAAGATTTGGGTTCGCTATCTCCGATATACATTTGCGATGGTAATGTAACAAAAGAAAATTTTCTTAATATTAAACGTCTTTTTCGAATATGATAATAAGATATGAGGTGGGAAAGTTGTGTGCACTAATGCAAAAATACCTATTTTGGTGTGAATTAAACGAATTTGACCTACATTTTTGGTGGCAATTGCTCGTCTTTATTCCCCCCGCCCCCCCACCAACAACAAAAATGGGGGAGAGCCTTGGAAATCGGGGTTTTTGGGTGGGGGAGAAAACGAAATCGAATCATCTAACCTAACCCCGGACCCTTGGTAGGCCTAGCTTAAACTTAAATGTTTTAATCGTTTAAAACTTTGGGACACGCCATGTCCAAAAGTACAATACCTTAGTTAGAAGTGGATAGAATGATCGTCTTTCGTAAAACTCGGCAATAAACTTAAAATAATTGTAGGAGCAAGAATGACAACGAACCTCCACCACGGCCAATGTCAGACTGGTCAATGATATTAAAATCTGTACCCAGGCTGCTTCCTTTGTAAAAATTCAAACGTGATTGGTAGAAAAAAATTTGCGTGATGATATCGATACTTCATTGGTCACGACTGGATGATGTCAGTCAATATAGTGCATGCATGATGCGTCGAGAGCATCTCCTCACAGACGAACACTGAAAATTACTATAATCAATTAAATTCAATTGTCGCTATTATCTATTTCTGCCTGGTATATATAGTGTTCAAAATGCTCAGAATAGGGAGATCTAAATGTTTCAGTAGTTTATAACTTTTGGGCGTGCTATGTCTGAAAGTAAAATAATACCAGAGGCAACATTTACAAGAACCTAATAAAATCTGACCTAACCAACCAAAGAAATCTACATAACCTTGCCCAACTTCCTAGCACTCACAGTAAAATTACATTACTAGGAACTTAGCTGGTCACGGCAAAATATCCATTACGACATGAAAATGTCACTATGTGCTTTGGATGCGAAGAAATTAATAACCGGGTATTGACTGCAAAAATCCCGCAAAAAATTTGCTGTTTTGGCGCACGTTGTTGTCCGCTCTGTTTCGATGCAACGACTGAGCATGCTGTCACGTCCACCAATATAATGTAAAATTACACCATGCCGCTTCAAGAAAGTTGATAGGAAGTTGGGTGTTGTTAGATTGGTTAGGTCAGGTTTTATTAGGTACTATGCATTATCGTATAATTTTTATTGCTATCATCCATAGAACAATGTGGAAAGATTGAACAAAATCGAACAACTCTTTCTGGTGGTAACCGCCTGGTCCACCTTTAACAAAAGAAAGGTCAGTTAAGATTTGTTTTCACGTCCCCCGACAGTTTATGTAGAAAGAGTTAATATTTTGCAATTTGGACTTTAGATATAGGTTACATTACCTTTCAATATTCTTGGATAGTCATTATTTTGGAGGTAATGTCGAATGGTGAATTATTTACTGTATATACTCGAAAAATGGGTTTGGGTCATCTCGTACCCAAGATAAATCCTGCCCAAAAAAGTTAACTCGTACCTACGCCAACTCGTACCTAGATAACTTGTACTTAGCTTGACAACAGCTGAAACGGTACTGTAGCTATGAAACAAAGTTTCATAACTTGCATTGCTGGAATCCTTGCAAGTTGGTAATTAATTTGATTATCAACAACCCAAAGTTTGTACTAGAGAAAAATGTTTCCGACCAATGGCTATTGCTGGCTATTCAATGGATATCATTACAGCGTTAAGGTGAAATATCATATCATGGGGTATACCTGTATAAGACTACGAAATAGTTATCAAAATACTCCTATCTGTTATTTCGATCCATTCTCTGATTTGCTGTTGTCATTGTTTTGAATTTACAGTAATCCTTCGAAGCAGCCCTTTGTGCTTTGATTAATAACCTAAATTATTTTTTAATTTTAACATCAAACAATCACAAAGTACTGTACTACCAAATTTGATGATTGGCAGAAGTGATTCATTCCTGCTATAATTAAGACAGTTTGGTGATGGTCTTTGCCCATTTCACCATGGATGTAGAGTCTATGGCTGTCATGCTGCTTTCAATGAGGAAATTTAAGGTAATGGGAGGTAATGGGAAAAGAAAACATCTTTTTGAAATTGATATGAGAATG